GAGCATTGTCTTTTATTCTGTTCAGCAGCTTCTTTGTTGCATGTTTTTCAATGACGTCCACAGAAATGTTCACAACCTGCTCAAGAATCAAACATGCACAGGTTTCGTGTTAGCCTAGATTCTCTCGGTTAAGTGATGTCTGGCTGGGTGGTTGGCATCAATCGATATTTAATTAGCAAGTAATTAATTATCAAAAAAAAAGCAAGAATGACCCTACCAATTAATCCAGATTGTCTAATAAATCCTCAATAAATCCTCTAGAAAACTGGTTCCCAGTAGTCCAATTCCTTGGAATTGTTCACCTGCCTATCGATCAGGCTTATTGGTTCTTGCGCTCGCACTACAATCAACCGATATCAGTTCACGTGTCAGAGGAAGAAAAAAGTAACACAGTCTAGTGTGGACATGGACATTTACTTTATTTTTATTGCACAAAAAGACAAGATAAATGGCAAAGTGCAAAACTGCATCCAGGACAGAAATAACCGCATTATGCTGCTGACACTAACTTCAGTACTTTGCAAGCATCAGCCAAGATAGCATGCTAATGCTAAGCTAGCCAAGAACCCAGAGTGAAAGCTGAGTGAATGCCGACCCCAGCTGCCAGACCCTGAACCTTGACAGGTAACAAGAAGATGAGCAGTTAAGCTGCAGCTTCACTTTCTACCTGTTTATGTTTCAAATCAAAATCACTGTGGCCCTTTTTGGTGTTGGTCTTCTTTTTCTTTTGGTGTGTGGTCAGCTTTGTATTCTACTACAAGAAAGATGTTAAAGACGTGTGTCCTCATTAGGTATTTGTGTTGGTGTGTATAACCTTAGCCTCAGGTTATATGGTTAAATGGTGATTATGAGTCAGTGGGTTTCAGCTGTTTTACAGAGTAACAGGAAAGTAACGTAATGAGTAGTAAAATGAATTACTTTTTCCTGGCAGTAATTAAGTAACGTACAGCTTTAGTTTTGAGAAAAGTGTTCTGGGTAATATGTGCAGTAATTACTTTTTTGAGTAACACTGATCACAGCAAAGTGAGGAAATACCTCAACAAACGTGCACAAATATTTGACCCACAGCAACAATTAATTTGCATGAATGTAATTAAAGTTTATAAGTCTGAATATTTGTAACAAATTATACATAATTATTATTTTTAGTTATTCAGTTTAGTAACATGAACGAAGTGGGCTTATTTGTGTAAACAAACAAAATGATCACGTGAGAAGTTTCAGTTTTGTAAAATCTCCAGTGAAAGCGAATTTATTAACACAGGATATATATGGAACTTTAACAATGGCAGTTCATTCATACACTGGGACACACGAAAAACGAATTCAGTTTGAATAAAATGTTATTTATATGGCACCAAACCACAACACGTTGCTTTATATTGTAAGAAAAATCCCTACAATAATACCAATTAATAAAGACTAAACAAAACCAAAAACCTAAGTATGCCCATGATTCAGTAGCTTGTACAAACCCCTTTAGCAGCAATAGCTTGATATAATCATTCTCTGTATGACTTTGTCAGTCTGTCACATCATTGTGGAGAAATTTTGGAAGTTGCTTCAGTTTCTTGAGGTTTGCAAAAATTTGTTCATGCACAGCTCTCTTAACAGCGCAGCATTTCAGGTAGATTGTGGTCTGGACTTTGACTGGTCTCATTCATTCCTTTCTTACTCAGCCATTATGTTGCAGATTTGCTGCTGTGCTTGAGATCATTGTCCTGTTGCATGAGCAAGTTT